GTAAACCTTTCTCTTCATTCAAGAAGTGAGTGTAAACAGTTGCAGCAAAAGTTCAGCAACTCCTCCATTTCCGATTTTCATCTCAAATGTATGGAAAACTATGCTTTTTTGAGGGCTAAACACCATCTACAAGTGTCAAGCCGTTCAAAAAATACCTGAGTAAAACAATGAATAGTCAATAATACGTTTATGCTATGTTGTTGGTTTGGGCATAGTCGTGTAGCAAGTCGAGAAGATACATGATAAAACCGAATAAAGCTGATTGGAAAGGATACACGAGGCAAAGTAGACAGTGATTGCAGTGATCCTACAGTGAACTCGAGAAACTTATATAAAATTGCCACAGTGCCCAACGCTGTTGTGCTGAAAGTGCGGTCAGTATGAGGCCGGCAACTTTACAGAGAGTAGTCTTCCAAGTGAAACTGTTTCGTAAGGAGCTGATCCATCGGGCTGCCAGTAAAGCGGCATGTTTACCGGCAAATTTCCACCGTCGGATCGAAGATACCTGAAGAATCGATGATGGGCTAGTCCACGGTAAAAGCTTTACTTTGAAGGCTGGTTTCTCATGCAAAGTGTGACTCTTGAGTGACTTTATCAACCCGCAGGCTTCTATTCTCCTCATGGAGTGAATGGCGTAATGGTGAGATATGGTGATTTTTAGTGTTAAGATGTTTATAAGGTCACATATCACTGCGCTAGTTATGTCTCTGAGGGATCACACAGAGGGGCAACTGCTTATGGTCATGATGCCATAAGCAGTTGCCCCTCTTTGATGCCGTTCTCGATGAGAAAATCGTGAAGGAAACGTTATTCACGGTATAAGAAGTATAGAGAATTTGCATGAGAGGTTGATGAAGCCTGGCAGCGGATCCTGCGACTGCGCGGGACTAACACTAGGGAGAAGAAGAATTGATGAAGCCTGGAGCCCATCCCTGTTCATTCCTACACATGTAAGGGAGATCAGCATAGTGACTCTCGTATTGGACGTACCCACATCCCACTATTTCTCTCGCTATCCTCCTACATATCCAAAAAGTTTTTGAAACGTTTTTGTGCAGCCTTCCATAAAGCAATAGGATCTTTATTGCGATTGGCTCAGGAGCAGGGCCAAGCATCAGGTTGGGAAAAATTTCGGTACAATCACTCCTCTCTTTCCACCCTCTAAGGTGTGCTTTCCAGTTATTCAAAAAATCTAGCGGGAGACATAAAATTTGAATAGCATGAAACTCAGTTATTTCATACTTGGGCAACTATCTTGAGAATCCTCCCATCTCTTTCAATAAATTAGCCATTGCACCAAGTTAACAAATAAGATCCTCCTCTATGTCAACTTTTATTTAGCGGATACTCATCCTTAATTCGGAGTCGGAGGAGTGCATCAGGGCTGCAAAGCAGTCTACTTGGAGTAGAGCTTTTTATCCAACGGAAGGGAAAACACGTAGCACTTCTGACGTTTTGAAACAAAAGTAATGCAAAATTAAACACGTACCCAATATGGCCATGCTTGCTGTGGATGACAGGGATTCCATCTGAAACAACAAACTATCCGACTATTCTAGGTAATGTTATGGTCTTAATCGTTAAAAAATGGAATCAAGTAAGGCAAACATGTAGTGTGAAAGCAATGAAAAGTATCATATGAAGGGTAAGTGAAAAATGAACGAAATGGCTGGGGTCAAGTGAAAATCTTGAAAGGTCCCTGTGATCTGACTGACCGTCGCGATATTACAGGCGGCTAGGCTCAAAACAAAATGACATGTCTCTGAAAAAAATTAAATCAAGCGCTTCTGCTACTACGAGTGGAATTTTTTTTTGCACGCTGACCATCCCTAGAACAAAATTATCTCAGTAGGGCAGAGCCGCGTTACATTTCTATATACATAGTAGGGTCCTTTCCAGGATTATCTAAGCCTTTCAGCTCACTGGGTTAAGCGAACAAGTCATGTCTACGAGAACGAAAGATTCCATCTTTGAATATCATTAGTCAGTGCAACTCGTCAGATTGATAGTCATACAATGTAAAATATACCTATGTGTATCCCATTTAGTGACCACTAGATTTTCAAAGTGAGCTCAAAAAACATCTCACATATTAGATGGGTTAACCATCTTTCATCACCGCACGGTCTCCAGGAGAAGCGGTAATCGCCTGTCATATAAATGATTGATAGATCGACTCACCACTTCCTCCTGGTACTGCATATCCCGCGTTTGGGGCTGGTCCTACCGGCCTGAGAATGTATCCGGCGATCGGTCCCGGAGAGTAATATGCCGAAGAGACATAATTTGGCTGATATGCAGGTTGATAAGAAGGATACGAAGTGGGTGTGCATCCACACTGCCTGAAACAAACATTTCTCAGGAAATTGCAATTTGCGGTGCTATTATGTAGATTCAAAAAAAAGCTGAGACAAGCTCCATGTGCTTTATATGTAGTATAGTGATGCTTGCAAGACTCCCGGGCTGTCGTATAAAAGCTCAATAGAATAGGTTGGTTGCTTGTGCACCCTGCCCTACCACATTTCAACCCTACCTACGCACACTGCTGTAACGGTTCTGAAGGGAAAGCTGGGGCAGCTATTCGAGAAAGCATGAGGGTGAGCCTTGTTGCGGACTCTACCGGCACGCGTGTTGATTCCTCAGGGGCCTTTCCTATCCTTGTGGTTGATTCATTCCTTGTTCTTTGAGATGTAATTTTTGTGCCGTCCTTCCTTGCACCCCCTGCTTCCTTCTAAGCCTTTTCCTAAACTTTTTTCAGCACAGAAGCAGTGCAGAGACGTTCGCACGTTCGAAGTTATCATCGCTCGTCCACTGCGGAAATTAAGGAGAGCAAGAGCTTCGTGCTACGGATTGTAGCCATTTCCGTTGGTTTTTTCTTCCACGCTGCATCTCTTGATGCCTATATTTTTGTGTCCGGCGAGCGACTAACTCATCGTACAATGAGCCTTTCACAACTATCACATTTATGTGGTCTATAAACACGTGAATTACTTCATCGGTACAGTACATAGCTGCAACTGCCAAAATGGCTATTTAAGGGCCGATGTTCTACGGCGGCAACTCGACCTTCCTAAGTTAATCAAATACATTCGGGGGACTTTTTCAGGGCCAAAAAGATAAGAGCCGCGTTGTTTTCCAATATATAGACAACTAAGGAAAGCAACCTGAATGTTGGAAATGTACCTGCAACCGCATCCAAATAAAAAAGCATCCGTGAATTGGGAACCACAGAACACGGTTACAAACAATATTATTATGTTTTGCATTATCTGAAACAACGTATGTTCGCTTGAAAGCATTACTGTTAATGAAAGTAAAACAGGTGTGGCGAGAATTACAGTAGAATTCGAGAAAGGTTCTCAGGCACGTATGTGATGAAGTCGTTGGTGTCGGTTCAGATAAAAGATTGACGCATAATGCCGGATCACAACGGATCAAAGGGGAACTATACGACCAATGGAATCGAAAGACTGCGCGCTATCAGTCCAAATTCGCCATCCGGCGAAAGGCGGATTTGGGAATAAACCGGGCGCAAGCTATCATCGAGATCGAATGGAACACCTGAGAATTCCCTGGTGTCTGAGAATTCCCAAGTCTCCTATGTTATCCATGGGGATGGCGGCTTCCCATGGATTGCCAACATTGGATGAGAATCACACAAAAGCTTCGATTCTCCAACGATCTGTAACTACATTATGTATCCTGTACCAGAACTTCTCCAGATCTATATATTTGACTTTTAATACATAGTCGGGAAGACAGTGGGTTGCTTAAACTTCAGATTTATTCAAATTCATCCCATACGTACGTCTGAATTGGATGAGTATCATAGTATTAGGCGTTTCAAAAAGTTCTGTCGTTTTTTGACACTCCACTTTTGGATGCTCTATTTTCCTTTAAACCCAGAAAAACTGCAATCGGTATGAATGCCGTTTTGAAGAGCTTTTCCTGCTCTATCTCATGCTTAGCTTAGCTTTGTCCTAAACATTTTCTCATAGCTTTTTCAAAGCTTTGAATGCGGTATACTCGATGAGCAAGTTGGCATGACTTTCTTTTTCTAGCTTTAAATAGACCTGAAAGTAGCGGGAACAGTTCATATTAACGATGCACTTGGCCTAGATTCGCAATAAATGTGCTCATATGCAGTAGTTCGAAAAGTTATTGTAACGAAAGCGAGAGCCTTGGGTATGATACTAGTGGTAGTCGGATCTCCATTAGCCAAAAGTTCTGATTGAGGCACTCGTGCGTAAGACCATAGAGGAGGTTCTGCCCAACCTGGACGTGCAGGAGCGGTCAAAAGTTTGGAAACTTTTTATTTTTCGACATAGCGCGGGCTCTAATCTACGTAATTGTCTCAATTTCACACAGTATGTATAAAAGCAAATAAGGAACACGATATGCAACGTGGTTTTTTGAAATTATATGATTTGAGCCAAAAAACACGATTTATTGCGAAAAGGGCGCGTCAAAAGTTTGGAAACTTCACAATAACAAGGGAAACTGTTCATAATAACATACAATTACAAACGAAATATCAATACTTAGTTGGATACCCGAGGGAATCGATCACTGCTTTGCATCTTCTTGGCATTGAATCGATTAAAGCTTCAATTTTGGACTGTGGAATCAAGGCCCACTCTTTGGACAATAAATTGAATTTTTCAGTGGCATTCTTAACAGAAAATTGGCTTGTACGACGAGCTAGTTCTTCCCAAAGATGCTCAATCGGATTAAGGTCTGGACTTTGGCTTGGCCACTCCATAACGTTGATTTTCTTTGAGTGGAAAGAAGTCGGCCACGAGACGAGAGTCCTGCTTTGGGTCGTTATCGTGTTGGAAAATCCACCCT